TAACCTTCCTAGACTCGCGTGGCGGGTCTCACAGATCGAGGAAATCGGAATTCGCTTATCTTCTAGAAACAATTGCCAAACTACAGGTATTTTAAAAATCAGTGTGAGACCAACGCGAGTCACTATTGTAGGATTTACCGGGATTGACGAAGGTATCGACTTTTCGAACTCTCTGTTAATTAACGAAGTCTGTACATTCTAAATATCTCGATGTGAAACTGATACAACGTTCTAAGCTCACAGTGTTAGGGACTCACAACTCACGCTACGTTCACTCGCCGACCGTTCTCTTCCCGATCCTCGCGCGCCTCTTCCTTCCTTCCTCTACTCTTCGTTCAAAATAAGAGTAACCTCGCTTCGCGCATGGGACGTGCCTGAGGCAGGGCTAGAACGTCCAAACCCCCCACTTAACCGCCTACGTTTTTCTCACGCTCTCTGTCTATGCGCAGAACGGACGAAAATCGGCCCGAGAGCGAGGTTATTCTTATTTTGAACGGAGTTTCTTTCACTCTATCCGGACATTCTTCGAAAACACTCAGCCACGTCCATCAAACATTTTGGGTGGCCAAGCATTCTCCGTTCACACCCCTATCTCTCTATATAGCTCGAGCAATCTTCGTTCACGCAACTATCGCTTCGTAACCATATCCTACCATTCCCACACTGTGCACAGAAAATAACGCGAGTTCAGGAAGGTTAACCTAACCTCCGCCGAGGAATCTTCTTCTTTCCATCCCTCCAGCCGGCACGTAAGCTCGCTAAAATCGCATCAATCTCTGAAACTGCGACAGAAGCGGTATACGACATAAATGCAAAGCGACGTTATCGAAGTTTCCAACATGTTCGCGGGTAGAAAAGTAGGTAGGACGAGGGGAAGGACGGAGCATGATCAAAAAGGAGGGAGGAAAAACAAGGAGGTAGATGACAGCACCGATGAATAATACATCGTTCCAGAGGTCTCGCGATACATTATGCCGAATTCTCGTCCTAGAAGGGATTGCAACTCTGCTCTAAAGACCTCTGGGAATCGTATCGTGGCTTTAACTGTCCCAGGGAGCCGACTGAAACGCGGCAGGAAGTCTTCAAAGATGATTGCTTGCCCGTTTCTCCATCTTTATTCCTCTCTCTCTCTCTCTCCTCTTTATCTCTCTTTGTCTCTAGCTCTGCTCGTCCTTATTAGCTTTATTCGTTTGTTACTCTCTGTTTCTCCGAAGAGCGAATTACAAATGTAGATGACGGCGAGTAGTAGTTCCGTTTGGAGGGAAGTTCGAGGAGATTGAAGGGCAATTTGATATTTTTAACGAGAATAATCGTTCCCTTTCGTTTCGCTCGAGATATTAACTGCACAGGGTTGGCTTTCATTTCGCCAACTTTGTTTTCTGTTCGTATGAATATTTCATTACTCTTCCTTATTTTCACCGTGTCTGCTCTATCTTATATCTACCTTTTCTCTTTTTTTGGCAAGTTTTCATTTCAGTTTCCGAGGAGTTACTTTAAATTCACCGGAAATTTTTCATCTTACCGCCAGACTCAAAGAATGCCTCGTGATTAATGCATTTTACTCGCTCTCGTGTTCAAAATTCTTCGAACGTAATGTTGGATTCCGGGTGATGGAATGTGTACAACACCTTTAAAATTTTAATAACGAGGTTTATTCAAGTTTTGACAGTTGTGAGTTGCACGACGATACTGGTAATAATGATTGTCGCCGCTTTTGAGCTTGTATTTATGTAGGAATCGACGACGGAAAAATATTGAGGGACTCAAACCCGAGATCTTCTTTCCTATTCCTATTTTTGGGTATGGAGGCCTCGGATACTACACTCGGCCACCCTGAACTGACATTCGCCCTCGAATGTCCTCAGTGCAACACAACTCAACACTTTGGGGTACACTTCCTCACACACTGGTACTCCCTCAGCCGAAACTCTGTTTCTCAGCTCTTTTGGAAGACGTGCAACCCTCTCACATGTTCTCATCTCACAGCGCCTGGGGCTTCGTGTAGCCGTAGATGCCTCCATCCCCAACCATTTGTAGGAACCAACGTCGGAAAAATACCGAGGGACCCAACGAGAATCGCTTGGCAAGCCGAGGCTTTGCGCGCTACGCCAACCACTCCGTCTCTATTCTCCCTTCGAGGTTTCCTATTTGGGTATGGAGGCCTCGATACTACACTCGGCCATCCTGAACTTACATTCGCCCTCGAATGTCCTCAGTGCAACACAACTCAACACTTTCGGGCACACTCTCCCACACAGTGGCACACAGCCGGAACAACGCATTTTTGGGAGACGTGCAGCAGCCCTCTCACATGTTCTCATCTCACAGCGCCTGGGGCTTCGTGTAGCCGTAGATGCCTCCATCCTGGATGAGCCCCCATTTGTAGGAACCGACGACGGAAAAATATCGAGGGACCCAACGGGGATCGAACCCGGGACCTTCGGCTTAGCAAGCCGAGGCTTTGCGCACTCCCTCCATATTCTCCCGTGCCGGTTTCCTATTTTTGGGAATGGAGGCCCCGGTACTACATTTATAGGGATTAGAAGAGACCGCGGAAGCGACTAGAGAGGGGTTGAGATAAAAGATTCTAGGTGATTAAGAACTAAACTACAAAACAGCCCACCACAAGTAATACCACACCACAGTATTAGGATACCATTCTGGTATCAACCGAATGATTATTAATGTTAATAATGCCATCTCATGTATCGATCTATTTAATTCAACACCTCCTTCACTTCAACGATCGCTGCTTAGCTTGCCACTTAAATGACTCAACTACTTTAACCCCTTAACGCACAGTTTTTTTTAAAAAAACCGGCCAAAAAAAATCAATTTTTTTAATGTAAAAAAAACAAACTTTAGAACATTGTTTTGGCAAAAAAATAAAAAAAATAAATGATAAATATCAATAACACGATTCTTTTTCTTAGCTTTCACATTGTTATTTTCAATTCTCGAATATATTCGAGTGTGAAAAATTATAGCAGCATCAAATACAACGCCGCTCGAATTATCTCGAGTGTGCACAGTTTGGCCTGTTTAGCGCGCTCGAATTAACTCGAGCGTGCAAGTTAAGGGGTTAATCACCTTAATTTTTAGTTATATTTATTTTATTCCAAATTCCTACCTCACTGTTTCACTATTATCGTGTATTATACTAATGCGCCATTTCCCGTATAAGTCTAATATTTGGCGAAATGTGTGTTCGCGATGCGCTGGTGTTTACCGAAGATTGCAACGCGAGCGGCTCGCATCCATGGGTCATGTCACGGTGGGTTTGTATCCAACAGTAATATGAAAAGCAATAAACAGCCTGTTTTGCGTGTTACGGTATTTTAAAGCAACAATCAAACGATTCCATTTATCACTATCGAATTACTTTCGTTCCGGTAATTTCACGTTAAAAACACGGTATTCGTTACGAAAAACGTAATTCGAAAACAATACCAGCCTTTTACGTGTAATCCCCCCGATTCTTTCCCATTGAAAAATATTTTAAAGCAACGGTCAAACGATTCCACTTGTCGATATTAATATCAGATATCGAATTATTTTCGTGCCGCTGCAAAACCCGGTGTTCCGTCGAGATACGAATTAGAAAAGGAACGAAATCAGGTCGATCGACAGTGTCAAGGGAGAAAGGAAATAGCTCGTCGATTTTCACCAATCGAGCATCGATCCCTCCGGTGAGATTCGATTATCGTCGTCGTACAAACGCGCAAAACTGTTTCTCGGCTAATTAATCTGATTACAACAGGTCCGCGGAGGAGAGAAATTTATTTTTCCTCTGGGTATCGCGGTGTACAAACAAATCGATCCTCTCGAGATCCAAGGGACAAATAACGGAACGTACAGTTGTAGAAAGAAACGGATCGACGAAGATCGGCGCTCTTTCACGAACAGACGAAAATAACCGGTGGAGTCGCGTTTTCACTCGGTTCTCTTTTTACGATTCTGCTCGTGAAATTTGATTTATGTGTTTGTACAGAGTGATACAGAGCGTCGAAAACGCGATATAACTCCTTTCTGGGGAGTGAAGCGAACCGTGAAAGGGTTTAATAGACAGTTTCTGATCGGTTTCGTTGCCGCTTTCTTTCTAATTTCACATTACACGTCGTCAAACGAAATTTCGTTGTGCTTCTTCGAAGGATTTTTATTGAGAATTTTTGCGACTGATGCGAAGTAAATTTTCTGTGCGAGTCTTTGTGTATGCTGTGAAAATATTGCTCTACAATTGAACGCAATTGTTTAACCCTTTCATTTGTACGTCTTATCTGAGCGCTCTAACAAAAATTGATTTCTATTTTGTGGAATTGGTTTAATAATAAGATGTGAGTGATGGCGTGAATGTAGTGAGTATATCGTATGATCTCGAGATTTGGTAAACCACATTTGGTAACTGGGGGTAAAAACAGGTGAAGCGCGTTGTTATTGATATCTGAGAGTACGTGAGAATTCATTGCGAGATATATTTAGAGAGGGACAATCAAATTATCATTATTTCTTTTTACGTGTGTATATAGTTATTATTAAAAAATATATTGCTATTTAACTTATTAACCAGTGTTATACAACCACATATTTACTATTCGGTACAGAAAACAATCCAAAGCAAAGAAAATTAGAATAAAATTCAAAATTCGTAGAAAAATAGATTGCAATTGTTTAATCCTTTCTCTTATATGTCCCACCCGAGCACTCTGACAAAAATTCATTTCTACTTACTATGCAGTACAGAAAACAGTCCAAAGCACAAAAAAGAAAAAACAGAATTCAAAATTCGTAGAAAAATAGATTGCAATTGTTTAACCCTCTCGTGACTAGCGATACACATGTCTCCTTCTCGAGTACTCTAACAAGAATTGATCTGAATGTTTCCAAGATCCATAGACAAATTCAAGCAAACGCACAATTCGTTCCACGAAAGGGTTGGAATAATAGAACGAAACAACCGTTGGATTATAATCCAACATCAACATCCCATTGTGCACACTTACCAGCTTAATTCTTCAACGGAGGTCGACGGTTGTTGGAGAAATGGCGCCTCTTTCGCTGTACACCTCCGGGCTCTGCAACCGAGAGAAGGAAACGTTAAGAACATCGACGAACCGCGTTAAATCGGATTAGTTCGCTGGGACACGAGACAAGAACGAAGGAGAGAGAAAAAAGAGGAAAATAAAAAGAGAAACGCGTACATATCACGCGAACTCTGCTCGTTCCTCGGTGACAGGACAGCGTAAGAAAAGTTCGATTCACGTCCGCCATCGCGGTCTCTGACAACCTTTCTCTCTCTCTCTTTCCCACCTGCCTTTTTCTCCCATTTTAATATTTTCTACATCTTTTCCACTCTCCTCGTGCATGCTCGCAATTACGGCCGCGCGATTCCATAACATTTTCCGGCATTATTCGCCGGAAACCATCCCGCGAATCCTTGCCCGTTTCTCTTTGTCCCGTAATCCACCGCCGCCATTCTTCGCGTTCTCCACTTCTCGGTCTTCCTGCAACGGCGTCTTCGCCTCGCTTTCACTTCCCCATGAATAACTATTGTCTTCCGCTTATCTCCTTCCCCGGACAGCCTTTGTCGAACCTCGTTTCACTTTTTTCCCCCTCTCTTTCCCCCACCATAGCGGTATTTATTTTCCCCTAATTTATTCCTTTCAGCTTCGATCCTCCCCCGAATTATTCCAATTATTCCAATCGTACGATTCTCTGTAAGCAATTTTCAATCGAAACAGAGATTTCGAAGTCATCCCAGGAATTTTTCTTGGGGTCGTCGATTCTCTTAGGAGCTTAGAATGTTATTTTTCGATTGACAATTTTTATTTTCCCTCGGTGACGATGTTTGAAGAAGATTTGAATTTTCTTAGAGATCCGAAATCTTAGATATTTCTTTGACCAACTTTTACGAGGGATTTTTCCAAGTTTCACGTCCTCGTGGCTTCTCATTTCCCAAGATTCCATCTCTATCAATTTTCTCCCCGTGAAAATTTTTTCCCTCTCCTAATTCTCTTCAATTCTCCATTCCTTTCGTTCTACCCCCTTATCTGCACCGTGGACGCCATTTCTCTCGGAAAGCTCTCCTTGAATCTCCCTTTTCTTTCATACACTCCTCAGATTCGCCATTTCTCACAGTTTCTTCGATTCCGTGCACCCCTCCTTGAACCTTCCTCAGGAGAACCAGAGTCTTTTATCATCGAGCTGCAGCTGCGTTTTACGATTTCGCGTTATCTTCTCTCATCACGGCTCGATCTCGTTCTCTCTTAATACTAAATCTCGTTTAAGCTGTTGAGGATAGCGACACGTATACGCGGTCTCGAGTTGCTGATTTCAATTTTCACGGATTACGAGCTACTTTGGATTTATAGGCGGACGATAAATTCCCGAGGAAAGAGGCGGAGGACTTCTGGTACAGGTGAACGATCGCCTGTTGTCGCGTGTCTTTCGCGAAAGAAGTAGAGAAGTAGGTGGACGTTGGTGTATGCTTCGATGGCGACAAAAATTGCGAAGATTAGGGGACGGTTCGTGAACAAGTTGCGGAATACATACACTACCGGCCAAAAGTTTGGAATCACCTCCCACTTTTCATCGATGTTAAGTCTGCTGCTAACTTTTTATCAATTTATCGCTAAAACTGCTTATCAATTTATCTCATATCGATTGATTCGAACGATAAGAAATTCTCAAAGTCGCTGACATTTTTCTGGAAATTTTTGTGCAAATTGCAATGCTCGGTGATTCCAAACTTCTGGCCGGTAGTGTATTTGAATATCTTATCCTGGGGAAATTAATACGGTGTGAAATTTGAAACGGAAATATTTCTCATTCTGTGCATAGATTTGTCGAGATTTGATAGATTGGGTTGCAGCCACACTGTCAACCAGAAATTTTTCATTCTCTGCGTAGAATTTGAAAGATTAGATACCTTAAATTACAATCGCGCTATGAATGAAACATTTTTCATTCTGTGCACAGAATTTGAAAGATTAGATACCTTAAATTACAATCGCGCTATGAATGAAAAATTTTTCATTTTGTCCATAGAATTGAGGAGATTATTACGTTACAACTAGGGCTGTTACTTTTAACCGGGTATTCGAGTCCCCATGAGATACCCGGATAGATGAAAATAACCCGATCGACCCGGGTGTCTGACGAGTACTCGAATATGTACATAAGACAGTCGAAATCTCGGTGGCCGCTACCGCTGGCGTTGTCGGCAATTACTATTGCAAGACATGAAAACAGACAATTGTAGGGCGTCTAGGCAACAATTAACACATTAAGGACCGCTCACGAGTTTTCTCGTGTTTCGCGCCCCATCTGTCACGGACCGCTCACGAGTTTTCTCGTGCTGCGCGCCCCGTCTGTTACGGACGGATCACGAGACAAACCCGTGTTTTCTACACGTTGTCTTTAGATGTCAATTACTTTGATACATTGTATCTACTTTGTCCATTTAAGTGTTTACATCAATAGTCAATGTATTAACCGTTTTCGTCTCATCCACACCGAAGAGATCAATCCCATTGGTGGAAACCGTACAGGTCAAGCTATGAAAGACTGTATAAATGCACGAACCCGAAATAAAAACAGCTTAGTCTCAGAGAAAATTCGACACGTTGCATTGCATTTTGGTGATTCGAATAGTCTTCGTCTTCGAAGCGAATCAAGATATATATGTAAATTTTGTATGGTTCCTCTTCATAGAGAAAAATCTTTCACGCAATATCATACTTTAAAAAAGTACTAGAAACTTTGGTAAAATTGATTTTTAAATAAAATTTTATGATAATTATTAAAAACCAATTTTTTTTAATAATTGCCTAAAATACATCCTATTTTACAATTTCTAAAAATTTCGTAAAAATTTATTTTTTAAGTAAAAAAGTTATGATAATTATTAAAGAACGTAAGTTTTTTTCAATAATACCTAAGATGCATCCTATTTTACAATTTCTGAAAGTTTCGCAAAAATTGCTTCGTAAATAAAAAAGTAATGAGGATTTTAGTAACGTGCAAGCTTGCCCAAAAACGTGCGGTCCTAGGCGTATGTCTTATAGATTTCTTAGCGGTCCTTAATGTGTTAATTACTTCGTTGTATTCTTATTTGTTGCAAGAACATCAATTATATTGTAGATATGCGAGTAATATGAGCAGAGTACTCGAGTATCCAAGTACCCAAAGAGTCGAGGAATAGTAGATATCTACTCTCAGCTATCTCATCTCATGGGATACCCGGGTACTTCCTGATTATCCGAGTATTTCGCGAGTAACCCGGGTATCTCTTAAGTAACAGCTCTAGTTACAACAACACTACGAACGAAACATTTTTCATTCTGTGCAGAGAATTTTAAAAATTAGATACCTTAAATTGCAATCACACTTAGTCCTTAGGACCAGACCCTGCCATAGATCCTGGAGTCTCCGAACGGAAAATAGAAAAGTGGCCCACGACTTTTGCCAACGTCGATGGGCCATTTGACTTTAACAAAGCCTAGAAAAGCGGAGATTCCACAGGATTCCCACGCATCCGTCCACCGAACACCTTCTCCGGTCGTTGTTTACCCCACCCTAAGATAACGCGCTAAGGGCGAAATGGAGGGAGGTTGCGATGCACCGGAGTAAACTGATTGGTGATTTAGAAAAGGAAAAATCACCAATCAGGGTGTTTTTAGGAAAATAGGAGTCTTCGTCGAGGGAAACCGCAGAGACTCCAGCAAAAACACTTGGCGACTCGCGGGGGAGAAACACTTTGCAACTCGCGGGAGAATCACTTGGCCTCTCGCAAGAGAAACACCTCTCACTTGAATTAGTTGTAGAAAATAGAACATAAAATAAAAACTTAGTGTTTCAATGAAGAAACTGGTCCTTCGAAGCCTGAGCCCATTAGTCGGCACACACGTGCAAAAACCGGCAACGCTTGAACGATCGAAAGATCAATCGCAAGCCCTAACAGGAAACATCAAACCTTCGATACCAGATGAATCGACGAAATACCTGTATCTATCCATCGGAAAAACATTTCTCCCATGGAAAAGTTCTATCTTGGACAGGAATATCGAAAGAAAAATTGCCAGTGAAGAGAGAGCTCGGTCCGCGGCGATGCGTAAGAAAAACATGATCCGCGGGGCAACGGTGTCGTCTGTTCGATGGCAGACAGCGTTGATCTGTTCCAACCCCTGTTTCCAACCGACTCCCCCATTTTTTCTTTATCAACCACCTGGCCGGGTTCCCTTGTCGTCGTCTCTGTTGCCTCCTCGTCGTCGTGTGCAAATGCGTTTCTGAAAAGGCTGCAGAGCCTGTCTGCGGCACGACGTGCGACGAATTTCCTCTCGCGTCTGCATGTCGCGACAAAAACGAAGAGAGAAAGCGGCGAACGAGGGGAAGAAACGGACGAAACAGTGGAGGAAAGGGTTGCGCTACGAGAGGGAGGATGGAATCGAAGAAAATATCGCATCGAAACGCGGTGATTCGACGCACGTGCATCGAATGCACGAGACAAACCGCGTATTTGTATCCGAAAGACCCCTTTTCTACGGATTCGCCCCGCTTCTCGTCCTTCTCTCGCGATATCATGCCGAGCTTTTTTCTTTTTCGGGGAAATGTTTCGTGGGTCGAATGACGCCTATGTGGAGACGGCGGGATGACAGTTTCGGAGCTCTGGGAATTGTGCAGTTCTCGAGAATTTTTGCAAATTTTGCGAATTTTTTAAGGACAAGTTTTCAATTTTCTAGACTTCTTCGATGTGACTTTCTTTTAGCTATCTTTCCATCACTAACTTTTTCATTCTCCAATTTTATGAACACTTTGCAAATTTTGCGAATTTTTTAAGGACAAGTTTTCAATTTTCCAATTTTCTAGACTTCTTCGATGTAACTTTCTTTTAGCTATCCCTCCATCACTAACTCTTTCATTCTCCAATTTTATGAACACTTTGCAAATTTTGCGAATTTTTTAAGGACAAGTTTTCAATTTTCCAATTTTCTAGACTTCTTCGATGTAACTTTCTTTTAGCTATCCCTCCATCACTAACTCTTTCATTCTCCAATTTTATGAACACTTTGCAAAT